CTGTGTGGATGGAAGCTGCTACCAACTACCAAAGTGGGTGATGGTAAACTAGCAAGTGTAGGAGCCTTGATCTAGAGCTAAATTGTTGCACATTATTCATTGAATTTTAAAAGACTTAAAGGTCAAGAAAAGATGAGAAGGATTGTTTTCCCCCCAGCCTGTGATCTGGATTGTTGACTGTGTTCACAATCCAGTGTAGTTCATTTTAATGCAGCCAAGTCAAAAGTAGTGCTGCTGGGCAAAAAGAAAGCACATAATAGTAAGCCCTGAAAGACTGTATTCAGGCAAGCAGTGGTGCAGAAAAGGACCTGAGCATTGTGGATTGCTATCATGAGCATCTTAATATGAATTTGTGGTACAGTGCACTGTTCAGAGAAGTGAATGTCAATAAATTAATACAACAACATGCAGGAAAAAAGAGGGAGATGGTCTGGCTTTTTGTACATACCCCAGTGCACTTGTGCACAGGTGGGAGGTCAAAGGAAGGAAACAAAAATAATCACAGCATTAAAAACAAACAGAGAAACCAGCAACTGCCTGGGTTCAGGAGCTCTGATTTTCCATTGAACAGCACAGAGGTTGAGAAGAGTCACATCTACGTAAGAATACCTATATATAGATAGACACATACTGCATATGTAAATATGTATATATATATATACACAGATGTAAGAGTGATCTGGTGGTTTAACGAGAATCAACGGGAAATCAGGCGGATTCAACCCTGAAATCAGAGGCAGTGCTGTAGTTAAATAGTAGTAAAACTTTAGGAGAAGAGCTGGTGGAATCATTTACAATCTTTTAAGATAAGATTAGATACTACAGTTTGTAAAATGTACTTTAGTCAAACTCCTGGGAACAATTCAGCGAGTTTTATAGAGAGATTATGACTGAGTGACTGCAGTAGTTGCTTCAGGCTGTAGAGCATGTAAATCCATAAACAATATTAAAAAAACCCACATATGCAGATATGTTTCAGAAGGACAAGTTCAGTGTCTTTTGCAGGGGTCAGTGTTGTCTCTGGGTTAGCATGGCTTCATGTTACAGCTTAATTACATTTTATTGTTAATGTATGTTGTTACTATGCACAGCACTTTAAACACGGTGTGCAGAGATACTTGGGTTTCAATTTTGTATGTACATGGGGTTTATTTGGATGATTCCACATATTTTTAATTAAAGAACAGGTGTTCCCTGTGAGCTACATGGGTATTCACTTACCCTGGTTTTGTATAGGGAATATATTAAACTTCCCAGTGTTTGTTTTCATTTCAGGCTTCATTCAGGAAAACTACTACTGATAAAAATCTTTGTTTCAAACAGCACAGAGTAGGAGTGCTCAGCTGCAATTGAATTTGTGAAGTGTTTCTGTTACAGCATTATCATTTTTATAGCACTCCAGTGAGGGACAAAGACAGGACTTCTCAAAGCATGCATTTTGACTTCAGACTTGAGCCTCTTAGTTCTTTCTTAAAAGTATTTCAAATATAAATGCAGTGATAAAACCAGAGCTTTCTCAAAACTTTATAGTTTTAGCTGTATATCAATCATTTTGTAGTTCTGCATTGCCAGGTACCAGTCACCAGATCTGCTCAGAACTTGCAGCTCAGTCTTTATGGGGGTATTGGGAGCCTTCCTTGTCTTTTTTTCTTTTTAATGAATTGACATTGTATTGTAATTGCCTGGATGAGTTTTTGCCTTGCTTCTGGTTGGAATTAGATCAGATGTTAGGAAGAAATTCTTTACTCAGAGGGCAGCGAGGCGCTGGCGCAGGTTGCCTACAGAAGCTGAGGATGCCCCATCCCTGGAGGTGTTCAAGGCCAGGCTGGATGGAGCTTGGAGCAACCTGGTCTAGTGGAAGGTGTCCCTGCTCATGACAGAGGATTGGAATGAGATGACCTTTAAGGTCCTACATCCAGTTTGTTGTGTGCTTCTGAAAGGAACAGTCATGGAGGACAGCGTGCAGATGTTTTTGAGGACAGAGGGGAAGATCTGTCATGATACAACTTTCTAGAAAATTAAGAGTTCTGGTTTGCCTTACAAAAATATCATCTGGGCTTGGGAGACGTTCCTGATCCAGTGGCAGATGGAAGTCAGTATTGATCCATAGTCATTTGTGTTGGCTATGGGAGAAGAATCATCAGGGACTGTATATGCAGGCTGGCAGGGATGTCCTTTGGCTTGATGATCCAAGAGAGGTCAGAAGAGAAATGATTCAGCTATCCAGCTGAAGGAGTTTTGGCATGCTGCTTGGGCCCAGGGATAAATACTAAATAGGTACCTTATGCCTATCTGAGAAAAATTCTTTCCAATTCGATGTAGCGTATTCCCGTCTTGGTGTGGTGGCTGTCAGAGTCTCCAACGTACAGCTGGGCAGTTCATGCATGGAAGAACTTGTTGCCTTTGGTTTTCCCTTAGAGGGTTATAAACATTAACCACCCAGAGGCTACTGATTTAGATAAGCGTGCTATAAATTGACACTGCATGTAAATGAGCTGTCGTGCTGTGTTGTGGTGATTAATGCAACTGTAATGGCACACATTATCTTTTAAAGTTATGATAACCTGGGGAAATCACTTAAAGATAACCTGTTCTCTCTGTTCTCCTTGGGAGAATATCTGCATTTTGGCTCCACGTAGCTTATCCTTACTTCTAATGCAAAAAAAGAAAATTAAAGAGAGCAAAGTGTCTACTAAGACCATATTCTAGCTGTCATTGCCTTTACTCCTGCATGTTAATTTTCTTATGCAAAAAACCTGCTTTTGAGTTGCCTTGAGACTGGAGGTTTTTAGTAGGCACACTCTGGAAACCATACTGGTTTTGTTCCAAGCTCAAGATCCAGGTGTCAGTGCTGGCACTTAACTAATTGTTGCTGAACCCTTCATACTTTTGGCATGCTGGTAAGGCCCTGGCACTAACTGCTTGAGGCTTAGTTTGACTTAAATTAAGTCTTATAAGAATTTGTCTTTGTTTGGCTTTTCATTCTGAAAGTATGTACTTTTCCTTGCAGGTTTTGCTTGTGCCATAATTCAGTATTTGTCCCAGTTCTAAACAAAACAGCTGATCAATACTTAGGTTTTCTGTGATCTGTTGGTACAAGTTTCAATAATACATGTATGGTTAGATTTGCAGAAAAATTTCTTATTTCAAATGAAATTTAAAGCAGAAAAGAAAAAGTTGTCTTTGGTTTTCTTAGTTTCCTACTTTGGTCCAAATCCTGAGATAGCTGAGATTTTTTTGACTGTGAAGCATTAACCAAATATGCTTGAGTAAGTATTGTAGAATCCCACATGCTTGGATCCAAGGTACATTTCCCCCTTTTTACTTGGGAATCCTTTGAGCTGTCTACCCTCTTTTGCCCTGTGCTCTACCAGAGGAACAGTTCTGTCTTGCTAATTCTGACTGCTCTCCCTGCTCTTTTCTATCACTGATAGCAGAAGGATGAGCTCAGGAATCCTTGAAGAAAGACAAACTGTAACATGTGTATTCCTGGAATAGTTATCTGACCTCTCATGAGACTAGAAATGTCTTTTCATGGAGGGGCTCTTGAGAGAAGTGAATGAGTCGGGGAAGAGGATGGAGAAGGGAGAAAAGGAGCTTCTCCTAGTGATTGGTGGCAGGTGTGGATACAGGGCAAGTGGGGTTCAGCATCCATCAGCTCGGGCTGCAGCAAGTGCTGTATCTCTTCACGCTGAAAGCCATGAGGCTTGAAAACACGAGATTTACATACAGAGTGGGAGCTTCTATGAAAGACTGTGGTGCTGTAAGTGCAGTGGCACACACCCTCTTGTGGCAGAAGGGAAAAGTCCCAGCACAAACCAGCGTGGCGTCTTTTATTTTCTGTGCTCCCTGGTTTGCTTTTCCTACTCTTCTTTTGTCTTTCCCTTGAGTTCAGTGAACATCCTTACGTGCTGTCCTGCACTTTTCTGTTTCATCTTTCTGTTTATGCAACACCCAAATCTGCTCTGTTTGTCTTGCAAATTCTGATATTTCACTCTATTTCAATCTGGTTTTATCAGTATTTGGAGTGTGTTTAAACTCTGGCTTTAAAGTGCCTTTTCTTACTAAATTGCCAACATATTGAAAATATGCCTTACAGACTAACTTTAAAGCATATGCACGAGCAAAAGGCTGGGAAAATAAATAATGACATTCAAGAGCATACTGGTTTTGTTTTCTAAATAGCTTAGTTTGTCTGAACTATTGTGAAGGGGTCATGTATAGATTAGGAGATAACAGGCTGCTTTTCCCAGCTGTTTGATTAACCAGCTTAGAGATGGGTCAAATGCGCAGGAGCAGAGTGCAAGGGAGGCACATCATCACCTTCCAAGTGCAGGAAGGGCCCTACAGCATGTTTGCAGTTTATCAGATTTGCTGCATAATAAGCTGTACGCTCCATTCAGCACTCTAATTAACCCAGGAAAGCACTCTGCTTCAGTCTTTGCTGATAGCATGAACCTCACAAAGCCAAGCAGTCTCACCAAAGTACCTCTAAATAAGATTAAGCAAAGCGAACCAACCATGAAATAAAATGTAGGCTAAGTGTTGAGCAAATACTATTATTTGCTTTCATTTAGTACCAAGTACTGTACTTGGCATGAGATGTCCAGGCATTTAATGTGTGAGTAGCACTGGCAGCTCTTAACAAGTGCTGACAGATGAGACCTTAATCATTCATATTTTCTCTCCGCAAAGAAAAGTAACCAAGTGTTGTATGAAAACATGTTGATGGTATTTCCCACAACTCCTAAACAGCCCATTGGTACTCAGCAGAGTTGGGAATCACATGTTGGTGGGCCCCTAGGGTGTGGTGACAGACCAGCTAAAACTGGGATATCAGTGGAAAGAAGAAAAGCCAAGATTGTGGTGGCAGGTTTGTAAAAGGACAGATTCCTCAGCCCTGTTCTGACCTTTGTTAGAGTGGGCACAGACATACACAACCCTCAAATCTAATGCCTGTTTGAAGAACAGATCTCATCCGTCTTTCTTTCACTTTTCAGGTATCTTGCAATATCTTCAGAACTCTCCCACCTAGTGACAGCAATGAATTTGATCCAGAAGAAGATGAGCCCACCTTGGAGGCATCGTGGCCGCATTTACAGGTTTTTGATTATTTACCTCAGAGGAAATGCTTGTCATTGCTTAACATATCTCATAATTTTCTCAGTTTTTTTTTTTAACTTGTGAATCAGACCCTGTTAGTCTGTGAGACACTAACATTTATTAATCCTTTTCATGGCTATAATATAGTACCTACAGAGACAGGAGAGAACTTTCTGATATTTGCAGAATGTTAAGCTTTCTTTAAAAATTCTATTGATGTGGTCCCTCATATATCCTGTTTTCCTTCACTGATTTAAAAATTATTTTGTTTTCCAAACTGCTCTGATGTGCAAAGGTTTTTCAACACCTTCAGCAAGAGCATCATGGGGATGATACTGCCGGCAGTTTTGCTTTACTGAGGGTAGATTATATTTATACAAAAGTGTGCAGATTTTGGCAACTGCTCAGAAAAATGAATGATAAGCTACATCCTTAAGTCCTTCTTCCTTTCCTTGAGTCAAGGTTTGTTTTGAGGTATCTGTAGCAGGGTGCTCACTGCTGAGTGTTATCCCTTCTTCTGTGTTTCAGTTGTCAAAACAAGGTGTTTTGAGACCCCCACCTGGAGCAGTGTGTCCAGTTCTGGGGCCCTCAACACAAGAAAGTCGTGGACCTGTTAGAGCAGGTCCAGAGGAGGGCACAAAGATGATCAGAGGGCTGGAGCACCTCTCCTACAAACACAGGATGAGGGACGGAGATTGTTCAGTCTGGTGAAGAGAAGGCTCTGCGGAAACCTCATTGTGACCTTCCTGTACCTGAAAGGGCACTTATAAAAAGGAGGGATAGTGACTTTTTACATAGGCAGATAGTGCAAGGGGAAATGGTTTTTGTACTAAAAGAGGAGAGATTTAGATTACATTTTAGGAGGAAATTCCTCACTCAGAATGCACTGGCATCAGGCTGCCCAGACAAGCTGTGGATTCCCCATTCTTGGAGATGTTCAGGGCCAGGTTGGATGGGGTTTGGAACAACCTGGTCTAGTGGAAGGTGTCTCTACCTGTGGAAGACGGTTGAAGTGAGATGATATTTAAGGTCCCTTCCAACCCAAACCATCCCATGATTCCATGATTTTGAACCAGGACCATAAACTAAGTTTGGAGAAAGCATCATTGATATTAAGGCAGTAATTTCCTTTATTGAAAACACAGATGCAGATCCTTTGTGTGTTAGTCAGGACAATGACTTGCAGTACTAGTAAACTGAGGAGAAGTTTGACTGAGTAACATCAGTTTGTGGAGCCTGGGAGTTTCTGTGAGCAAAGGAGCACAATTGATCTCAGCCTGAAACGAGGATTGTATTTTACAGTTGTGTGCACAATCCTTGCCTGTGAGCTCTTTGTTTTGCTCTTTTGTGCTCTCTCATTTAGAGTCTGTGGAAATGTAGGTTCATCCCTCATTTATATTTAAATTTCACAAAAAATACGAGTCTTAAAAGCTTCGAGGCAGCTCTGAAGAGCTCTGCTCTGCCTGCCTGGAAACAGCACAGGCATATATATCTGTTACCTTGTGTTAAGTGACACTAGTGCTGTAGTTTTAAAAGTCATTACTTACGTGGAAATGATGGAATTTCTTATCCACCCGATGACTTGCCATTGTCAGGAAGAAATTCACCAAAGTGTTTGTGAGGAGTCGATGGAATTGATTTCCTGATGATTCAATGTTAGTTATGTAAGCTGTCACTTTTTCCATGTCTTATTTCTGAACCTCTCTCCCCCTTTTTGATTTCCTATTGCTTCCTTGGAGAAGTCGGAGAACACTGATATAAAGTAGCAGCAGCAGCAGTTTTGCAGCATATTGTTGTCATGGAAAAGTTTAAAACTGTTTAAAAATGTAATTTTTAAGCTTCCTTTCTCCTTTCAGTATCGATACTCAGACTCACTGAAGGCAGAAATGAGCAAGTTTTCAATGGCTGCTCTTTATGAAAAGGTTCAGCAAAGAGATTTGCTGGCTGGTAGCTCATTATCAGTGACAGATCAGAGTTGCTGTCTTATGAGGCCACAGCAGTCTCTGTTTCACTTCACTTCCTTGTTGCCTGTTTTTTATACTCTTCCTTTTCTCCACTAAATGAAAAGTCTGTTGCTGTCCCACTGAATAGTTTGGGTAGAGATGGAATTGCATGAAAATAAGCAGATTTTCTCCAGCCCCGAGGCTAATCTTGACTGTAAGTTAGGAACTTCTGAATAAATTCTGGTTTGTATTCTTCTTCTGTGTGTCAAGTTGTAGAACACTACTCTAAGCAGTTTCTAATTTAATTTAAATATTTCCAACTGTTTCACCAACCCTTTCAGAATTGTAATGTCTGTATTTGATGTGACTTCAGCAGTTCAGAGGGCAGTTTAAATGTGCTTTCCAATTACTTAAGGAAGCTTTACAAGATGATAACAGGCATTACAAGATGGCAGTGCCTGTTCTTGGTCATGAAATGTCTTTGACTGGAGTTAAATAAGCAAAAGCAGCTTAAAAAGCTCGTGTAATTAATTCTAACTAAGAGGTAGCAGCTGGATAAAGGAGGAAAGTTTTCATTTTTTAAACCTTTGCTCTGTGGAAAAATAAGTGCTTAATTTTTTAACAAAATTTAGGGAAATACTAAAATATGAAGATTAATCAAGTCATAAATTAACCACATTTTTTTTTTCTTTTGCAGCTTGTATATGAGTTTTTCATACGATTTTTGGAAAGCCAAGAATTTCAGCCCAGCATTGCCAAAAAGTACATAGATCAGAAATTTGTATTGCAGGTAAGCTGATGTGTTTTCTTTAAGGCTTCACGTTGCTTTTGAAAGAAAATTCCTTTAAAAAGGTCTTGTTTAGAATTCGAAAGTGTAAGTTTATTTGCAAAAGAAAAAGGCTATACCAGCATATACAATGGAAGCTTTCAATCTATGGAGGTGGTGGAAATACGTGTATGTGTTTATATGTCAGTCTCTGCTGCTCTAGGTGCATAAAATAGATGGTTTGGATCCAGTTTCGATACCTCAGTCAAAATATTGGACTTGCTGCTTATGAGAGGCAGCTGAAACAGTAACTATTGAAAAATGAAAGGTTTACCATCAAGTCTCAAAGTCCTGCTATGTAGAGAGTCTACTTAAATGCCAGTTTTAATGTGTCTTAATATTGTTAAAATGTTTCTGTTGGAAGCGGAGAACATTTCTCCCATCTCTCTCTGCAGGAAGGGGCAGAAGTTCATTAGCAAAGTTATTTCCAGCATGGTACTGAAACAGTGAGAGACTGTAGTGTTTGGGGAGGAGGAAGTAAATCAAAAGGCTGTATAAAGCTTGAGGTCTGTTAAAAGCGTGGAAGGAGAAGCAGCATCAGTAATAAACAACATGGGCAAAGAAGAGGTAGCTTTATTTTTGTAGTTTACTTGCCATTGCTGTGGCTAAAGGGAAGAGATGACTTTCAGCTGCTACCCAGATATTTTACACATGTTCAATCTTCCTTGATTTCTCATGTGCTTTCTTACTTCACTGGAACTACAGTAGCTGGTCCCCTCTACTGAGAAGTTTTTGTCCAGGCCTTGACAAACACCAGAACAGAGGTGGTTGAAGGAGGTTGTTTTCTAGTATAAGCCAGGATGCTCCACAGATACAACTGTTGTCTTTGGCTCTTGGGGATAGACCTGTCTTGGGTTTTCTGTTCCCATGGTGAATTTTTTGTATAACCACAAAGTCAGATAGAACTTCGTGTTTGATGCTGCCTATAACTTGCTTTTGAAATCAAGGAAATTTAGAAGGATTCCTACTTAGTTAGAAAAGGGAGTTTCCTTGCAGGCTGACACTTGAATAAGAAACAAATTAGGAGTGATACTCAGCATTTTTGAAGACCTTTCTCTCACCCCTTATCATGGAGCTTTTATTTTCTCCCTGTAGTACTCAGGAAATACAAGTTGTGCTTTTACTGTTCATGTTTGTTGTTTGTATGAAGAATACCTGGAAAATGTACTTAAGAGAGCAGTTTCTGTCTTATGCTCAAAGATTCAAAGAAGGGACTTCAGTTTCCTTCTTAGTGCCACAAGACTTTTTTCACCCCACAAAAACAGTAGATGTATTTATGGTTTTATTGTATCCATCTTCTAAAAACAAGAGCATTCTTCATCTGGATCAAACCTCTTGTGGTTTGCTTTTTGTTCACCTCAATACTGATTTGAACAAGGAGGTGCACCAATCTGATCATCCAGCACCTAGTGGAGATGTAAGAAGATGCATGATAATCACTCTCTACAGGTTTTTCCAGGCTGATTTTTATTTCTTTAAATATAGCAGGATTGCATTGGAATGAATACATGTGCACATGTTCAAAATCTGGTGAAAATAACTCTTAGATGCTCCTGTTATGTGCTGCTGAGCTTGGTCATGACTGGCAACATCCCACTCACACCCTTTCAAGACATTCAATCCTGGCACAGTTTGGCACGGGAGAATGGGTCTACAACAATGATTTTTTTATTTTTATTTTTAAATCCTACTAGTCTTTATTAAGTCTACTAAATGAAAGAACGGTATCTACTGAAAAAGAGGAATATGAGATTTTAAAAACTCTGTACCAGAAAATGTATGATGTGACAATAGGTCAGAAGAATTCTGAGGATTCACGTTCTTGACACGTGGTTCGGTGATGCACATTTATAAATTGCTGTGTACAGTGTGCCAATTTAAAATCCACATTTTCCTATAAAAAGTTCTATTGAGCCATATATATTATAAGCAAGGAGTTATATTTCCACGTGTGTAAATGTTTGTGTTTAGCCTGTAGGAACTGGGCTGTCCTTCCACTTTCTGTTATTCTTGTTGTGTGTCTGGAGCAACTCCTGAGAATCTGTGACCATAGATCACTTACATGGGAAAGTGATTTGACACTGAAGGTTCATTAAGCATGTTTGGTGTTTCATGACACTGACAACACAAGTGTAACAGTCTTTGAAATCAGCTTTCTCTCAAAATTAATTTTTTTTTGAATTTTATGAACTTTATTGAGGTGTTTCTTGGCAGTAAGAATGACTGTATGAAAAAATGATACATTTTAATGCACTTCTTCCCAGGCTTTTTCTTGTTGGCTTGATTTTTGCCTTTGGTTTTTTAAATATGGCCGTGTTTCTGGCTTTCAGCTGTATGTTTTAATAAAATGCTGTATGTACCAGTGTAACTGTTCAGTTCTCAAGCCTACTTATATACAGTCTGAAATGGTTGGCAGTGGTTGCTAAGAGACATACTATTCAAATATATCCACGAGTCTCTGTGTTATGTAGGTTGCTATTTTGGAAAATTTATTTCCCTTTTCTTTGTGTGTTTAGAATAGTCACATAAATTATGGAAGTCTTGCAGCTTGTCCATAAAAATAAGACTTTATTGTTGAAAACTGATAACAAATTGGACAGAGCAAAGTAATAGTCTTATTTATTTTTTTTTTTAAAATGAGAGGCTGAGCCTTAGTTTAGCAGTGTTTCCAGAGAGGATCTGTATAAGAGAACTGGAAATACAAATACTTTGCAATCCATTAAGAAGATGAAACACGTAAGTGTTTCCAGCTGTTTGCTGTCTTAGGGTGAAATGTGCTATTTGGGGAAGGATGAGGTGACTATTTATTTATTTAACTGTAGAACTAATTGAACAAAGCAATGTGTTTATAACCTCTGGAGGGCAGATGACAAACCTCATAGTTTCCTCATGAAATCCCCACCACAGATTCTTACTGCAAGGAAAACACAGTGAGATCTCATTACAAGCTGCAGAAACATTCAAAACAATGAAGAAGAGTATGTGCATCAGTCCTAGACCTGCATGTTAGAAGTCAAAAATCCCAGACAGCTTAATAACTTTTAATCATATTTTTCTGCCTTTTTTCTTTCTCACCTCCTCAAAGTTGTATAGCAGTTTAACAGAGATGTATGTAGCATACATACACTGACAGATCTACTTGTAATAGGTATTTAAAATTTATCTGTTTGTGAATCTCAGATAATTTTGCTTTCTGCCATTCCTGTAATAATTTTCTGACAGCATCTAATACATTTGTAAGACCTCTTTGGAAACCATCTTCGTTTCTTTTGCGAGACAGGTGATGGTTGACAGTTACTTTCTTTTTCATGCAAGAAAGATACTGGTTGCTTATGATTACTATCTAAAATTCCCTGTTTAATATGCATTTGGTGGTGGTTGAGTTTTTTGTTTTTAAGTAAAGTTTACCTTCTCATTTTTTTTCAAATATCCACCAGAATAGCCAGTGTTGTGGGGTCAAAAAATGAAGAAAGTGGCTAAGGGGAAGCTCATACTTTTGTGGTATAAGCATCAAGGGGAATAAAACAAAGATCTGCAGGTGCTATTCCTGCTGCTCATTTCATGTCTTAATTCTTAGAGACAACTTCAGGTGTCAGTGTTTTGGGATATATTTTGTGCAAGACAAGACACTGGAATATGTTTTCTTTTGATTGAGTCTCACATAATCATTTTGCTGTTTTAAAATCTTATTTAAGAACTACTTAATAAATGTGGGTCTTCTGTTGTTGGGTGGTTCTGTTGGTTTTTTATTTTGGTTTTGCTGGTTGTTTTGGTTTGTTTTTTTTTAATTGAAATTGATATTAATATTAAATAATTAATTCCCCCAGCACTTTGATTTGTGCCAATTGGTGAAGATCCTGTAACAGCAGACCCAGTGCTGGCATAGACCTTCCCTGTTGAGGCTTTCCACAGCATGAAGGCCATGCAATCACTAGGAAGGCTTAAGAGCTCATCATATAAATTACAAACAATTAGAAAAATGTGACCTTGACACAGTGTTGTGAGAACAAGAATATTAGAGCAAATGAGGATCTTTTAGTTCTGCAGAGTGAGGGAATGGTGGATGTTAAAAGGCAGGCTGTCTTCATTTATAGGTATTCCAGCATCTAAGAACTTACGTATTTATTTTGGGGAGAAGGAAGAAGAAAAGCGGCATTTTGGACCCAATTAATCAAAAATTTATCAGTCTGAGTTTTGTGATGATGTACTGGGGTTCCAACAGATTCTTTTAATACTGTATATCTACACCTTGCCTACCATGGATGTTACATTTTGCATGCATGTGCTTCCATGAATTTACTTTTATATAGAAGTCTGTGTGTCACACTTGTCAAATGTCCCCTCTTTGAGTTCTCTTTTTCCTTTGAACGCAGCTGTTGGAGCTGTTTGACAGCGAAGACCCTCGAGAACGAGACTACCTAAAAACAGTCTTGCACAGAATTTATGGCAAGTTTCTGGGTCTTAGAGCATTTATCCGAAAACAGATTAATAATATTTTTCTACGGTAAGTTGTGGAAGAAGGTGCTTTTCTCTCATGAACACTTTAGGAAACTGATATATCGCTTATATTTAACTTTTCTTTTTTTAGATTTGTTTATGAAACTGAACACTTCAATGGCGTAGCTGAACTGTTGGAAATTTTAGGAAGGTAAACGAGTCTTTATTTATTATCTGTCTCAGACTTCCCTTCTGGACATGCCAGAATAGTGTCAGATTTGGAAGAAGTATTATGATAAGCCCTGATTCTGAAAACAGATGTGTGCACATGCTCATCTTTAAGCCCACGTGCAAACCTCTGTCACATCTTTGCCAAGAATATAAACTAGATGCAAGTTACAGCCAAATGTTGGATTGATTTTTACATGTGTATGTGCATTACATTTTGTGCACTTCACCCTTACATGATGTAGAATTACTTTTTTTTTTTTAGGCACACTAGCAGTGTGAATGTTTCGAGTTAATCTAATTTTGGTAGGTTAATTACTCAAGACCACCTTGCTTACATGAATTTACAGACCACATACACAAGGTCTTACCTGTTTGGCAACAGGTTTGTTCAGCTGTTTATGTGATTATTCCTAAGTTGGAGCTGAATTGCTACCTAAACATCTTGTGCCCTGCTAATATAAAGCAGGACCAAAGTCAGCACCTGTTTACAAATGGCATGAACCTGCTATTTGTAAACAGGTGCCTACTGCTAAATATATTTTAATCTAGAAAGTGCTTGTTTGGCCCTCCATATTGTTTTCTCTGATAGTGACACTAACAAATATTTCTTTTCTGATTTCTAGTATTATCAATGGTTTTGCTTTACCTCTGAAGGCAGAGCATAAACAGTTTCTGGTGAAGGTGCTGATCCCTTTACACACTGTCAGGAGTTTATCACTCTTCCATGCACAGGTAGACATTATAAAAATATTTTCTGTTCAGAGTTATATTTTTTTAGGGTTGCTTTGGAAATTTATTTATGTAGCACATAAAAGGTGGGGGGAACTTCTGAAATGTGGAAAAAATACAATAGTTTTTTTTTTTTAAAAACTCATTTGATGTGCTTTGTCTGATAGATATTTTGCTTCTGTTCTGATTAGGTACTTAAAATTGTTAATATACAACTGTAATAGTTTGGAGATTTTACTTAGTATTTAAGCAGTCTGTAGGTTTTTCTGCTGTTTTCGCATTCTCACAAGTTTGCCTTTCCCATTCTCTCTCCCAAGAAGATGTTTGGGTTTCCTTAGTCTGGTGCTGTCAAGGCTCTTCTTCACCCTGGCAACTTTCTGAATAATAATACCCACATTTTTGCATGATCTTCAACATTCTCCCTCACAGATTTCTTAATACTGCATTTATGCTCTCAGATATCTTTTATGCCTTCATAACATTATTTTTCCTCTGATAAGTGCTGCCTGTTGCCTTTCTGTCTGACTTTCAGATAGTGCAGTATTTCTTATGCTGATAAAGCTGTGCTTTCCAAATATGTTATTCCAGGGTTTAGGTGTTGGCTCATCTTTCAAGAGTTCTCATGATTCTGCTGATGTATAAAACGTGTAAAAAGACACAGTTTGAGAGAGTAACAGAAGTTTCAAAACATTTGGTTGTATGACTGTATTTAGAATTGCAAGTTGCTCTGATTTTAATTGTATGTGTTACTTTGTCTCTCTGACTGTTTTTGTAAAGTGTCCTGTTGTTTCTTACGAGCTGAGCTTTCAGAGCACTTGCACAGTGCAAACTGTGCATCTCAGTTTGAAATCGGATGCAGTTTGAGAAAGCTGAATAGCACCTTGCCTCGAGTGTCTCTTTTTTTAAAAATTGGGTCCTTGTGGTTTCTTTATAGAAATGTTCTGACTTAATTCTCCTTAATTCTTACCTCTTCACAGCTGGCGTATTGCATAGTACAGTTTCTGGAGAAAGACCCCTCGCTCACAGAACCGGTAAATATTTCTTTCCTACTTTTTTTTTTTTTGCCTCCCTGTTGAGAGAAAAATAAAAAAATCTGACTTTTTTTTCCCTTCTAATTTAGGTCATTAGAGGTTTAATGAAATTCTGGCCAAAAACCTGCAGTCAGAAAGAGGTAAGCGGCGTGCTAGTATAACAAAACAAAAGAATTATTTTGCTCTAAAATATAATAAGCAGGGAATCTTTAAATATTTCCTGGTAGTGAGCACGTGCTGTGGTGAAATCTTGGTATTTTTTCTTGGAGATGATTTTTCTCTACTTGGATTCTGGCTTTTTAGAAAATTTCAACTATGAAGAGAAAAGTTTGATAATCATGGTTTCTATTCACAAAATTAGCACTGGTACTTCTGAAGAGAACTGTTATGGCATTTTTTTTTTTTTTTTGAGAGGAGAAAATAAACATAGTTGAGGATAGGTTGGAAAACTCTGGTAGACTTGGAATTGTTTGTATGTGAGGGTAGTATTTTTCCAGGGAGGGTGGAAGATATTTTACTGTCTAGTGTTTATCTGCTATACATGTAAATGATGCAGTTAGGCCTTTGCATTTTTGTTTCAAATTCTTGATGCAAATCTGAGTTTCCCTAATGAGGTTTTGTGAAAAAGCAAAACCGTAATTCTACCTTGTTTTTAGAAGCAATATTCAAAATAAAGAGACTCTCCTCAGTTAGCAAAGTTTAAGCTTTGGTCAAATTCTTCGTGTGAGGCAAAGTTTTGAGAATTGAACCAGTATTCCATGGTAATTTTATTGTAAAGGACAAGTGCTATATTTGAAAAGACAGCACTTGAACACACTTGTCCTTCTTTTAAGAGACTGAACCCAGAAGCTGCTAAAGGTAGAACTGATCATATTATTGGAGAGGGTCTTGCTGAACTTGTGAGGCTTCCATTTCTCCCTGAAGCAGTAGAATTTGAGGGTTACCAGCATTTTTCTGATTGAGATGATTTAGAGGTTTTATATTTAATGCTTTCTTCCTTGTCTTTAGGTCATGTTCCTAGGAGAGCTGGAGGAAATCTTGGATGTAATTGAACCATCACAATTTGTCAAAATCCAGGAACCGTTGTTTAAACAAATTGCCAAGTGTGTCTCTAGCCCTCATTTTCAGGTCAGTGGTAGAGGTTATTTTTTGTACAGGAATGTATAGTCTCAGTTTCAAATGTAACAGCCCTGCAAATGTAATTATTGTTTTATGTTATGTGGTTTTAAATACTCGCCTTCTGTGGAAGAGGATATGTTGCAGTAGAAGTTTAGTTCTGAGCTCCATGTTAGAGGTATCTGGGGTTACAGCCCAGAACTTGCTGTTCTGAGCCCCACATAAGGCCTAAAAACTGCATCCAAGTAGACTTTGAGCCCTTCTGACTGTGGGTGACAGGTCCCTGCCATATAGACCATGTAGGATGTATCTGCTCTCCATTTTTGGTGCAATATGGTTGTTTTCCAACTTACTTCCCTCTGTAACCAGGAGATGTCTGATTAGAGGTGACAGAAAATTTATCATCACATTGCATAAAGGGAAGAAGGGAAATGAATAGGATTTAGATGGAATGACACTAGAGTTCATGGCCTGTGGTGTCTCCATATTAAGCCTAGTGACCTGTCCTGGCACAAAGGCAGATGTGACTTTTCAGCTCTTCCCTGGGCTGCATTTATTTTTAGCATAATTTAGATCAGCATCCTCCCTCCTACTCCCCAGCTCCTCCCCAAGGTGATCACTGTCATTGTTACCTTCCCCACAGGGAAGGTTTCTCCTCCCTTGTTCAGCCCAGCTGTGGGGCCTTTCTCTGTCTCCTTCCTCTGGTATCCCAGCACTAGTGTCTTCCTTCTGACTGCAGCCTTCCTGACTTTGAGGGAAAGGGGAGATGGGAAGTCTCTCTGCTCTCCCTTCCCCTCCACAGCTGCAGCATTAATGCAGTGTCTGCACCTGGTCTTCAGTGAGCAGCAACATACTGCTCAGGGGAAAGAGAGTGTGGATGCTGTGGGATCAGAATTACAGGATAGAAACTTAATTCCATTAATGCATGTTATGCTACTGATTGGAGTTGTTTAATTCCAAAACTAATGACTCCTGTTAATTTGTCTTTGTGAAGTTTTTCTGTGATTTGTTTTTCCTTCGGAAAATTACAAAATTATAGGTATCTGAATTCCTGTTAATAATTTATTCCTTTGACTCAAAGGTGGCTGAAAGAGCGCTGTATTATTGGAATAACGAGTACATCATGAGTTTGATAGAGGAGAACTCAAATGTTATACTTCCCATCATGTTTTCCAGCCTTTATAGGATTTCTAAAGAACACTGGAATCCGTAAGTTTTTTGTCTTTACACTTTATTTTACTGTTTCTGAATGGGAGAGATCCAGACCCAAAGCTGGTCTGAGCAAGTGCAACTCTGTTAATGCCAATATAAATTAGTCTGTACTTGAGCTTGTCTCAGAGTGTTTTTAATTAACTGGTATGTGTACAAAAATCTCTACCTTACGGGATAAAAATAGACCTTCTCACAAGCTGGAAAAAAGAGAAATTAGATGTTACATTGTTATTGAGGAAAAAGTGTTGCTCATCGAGCTTTTCTCCTACACAGTTTTTTATAAACTGGTTGACTCTTAAGCCAGATTGTAAATTGTCTAGAGGAATATCTCTTGGCATTAATAAAGCTTTGTGGCTGTATCATGGACTGATACCTCTGGGAGACCTCTGGAACTGGTATTTTTTAAACATCTGTGAAGCATACAGACATCAGTATATTCTTCTTGGGTTGTTTTTTTCTAAATTTATTGAAATACAGCTGTTCTCTGTTACAGTAATTGAACAGTTACTTCATATTGGTATTCTGATAATTAGGCATTTTTATTTTAAACTGAATGACCTAGTAGAAAGTGTTTTAATGAAAAATACTATTACAGTTAGATGCCATGTATTCCATACTTGAGTTGAAAAGTTTTTCTAACTCAAGATGGTTACCATGTAGTAAACCCAGTATTTTTAATGAGCTTGTGCTACATTCAGGTCTCAGTTGTTTTAAGACCTTACTATACAATATTTAATCTTTTCAAACATTAGTCTTTTTGTTCTGTACCTAGGCAAGCTCTCAAGTTTGTGTGCTTACCTGACAAATCTAGTGCTACTGGAAAGCTTCTGTAATTAAGACTGGTCACACAAAGACACTTTCCATGGCATTACCAGTCTCCAACATGCCCCTGCTCCTGCCTAAACCTTTATACTGTGCACTGGGATGCTTTTGGTAATGAGAATACTCCAGTATCCCAGTTTGCAGATTGTTCATACCCACAGGAATTTTGTTTTTTTGACACATAAACCAGGTAAAGATACATGTAAAATAAAGAATATAATTTAAATAATTTTTATATTTATAAGAAAATTTGCCACGTAGGCAACAAAATTAAAAGTGTATTGAAAGAAGTGAAAGAGAGACAGGGGTATGTGAGCAATGGCACATAGTTTGTCTGCTATATGGATTAGCTCCAAAGGTTCCTGGCACTTGTTCTGTTGATTCACTGCCTCCTGGCTGAAGTGCTGTTTCTTAAGCAGCTCTGGGTCTGAATATGACAGCCATAGTAGTGGATCAGGAACTGTGAAAGGGAAAATGAATATGAAATGTATGAGTACAATCACTCTTGAAATGCAGCCTTGTATTTTGCATAGAGGCAGTGAATATTCAGCTTCATAGAAAAGTCATAAGGAAATATGAATCACTCTCATTTTGTGTTTGAATTCTATTCCTTCTGCCAGCATTGATGATTTGAATCCCTGAAGCTGCATTCAGAACTGCTCCACAGCATGAGGGAAGAGTCTGTAGTTATATGTAATGGCTTTCTGTTGTTACCTTTTACCCTGGAGTTTTGGCTTTCTCGATTTCAGTAGTCAGTAGAGACAGGAAAGCTGATTCTCACCTTTAAATATGTTAATCAAAAGCAGTTTCACTGAAATCGAAGAATTTACATAATCATACTTGCAAGAACAGAACTGGTCACAGAAAGGCCGGGAAGAGAAGACGCTTTTATTTCACGTTTGATTTCACCTGCAACTAATGGACTCCTTTCTTCTTTTTCAATTTCTCACAGGGCTATTGTGGCTTTAGTCTACAATGTGTTGAAGGCATTTATGGAAATGAACAGCACCATGTTTGACGAGCTGACAGCCACTTACAAGTCAGATCGTCAGCGGTAACTTTTTAAAGCTTTTTTTTTGTCAGCTGTGCATAAGGCCTGCTCTTTAGTTTTTCCCTTACACTCAGGTGCAGTTGCATAATCTCACACATGGTAGGCACAGTGCCCCATTTTTCCCCTTGCCTGCCCATTAACCTTCTCCTTGCAAGGTGTAAGATTAGATGTGCAGGTTGCTCTTTACCCTTTATTAAATACAGTATCCGTTGCATTGCTCGGGAATCCACATTATTCAAGCAATTCCTTTTGACTCCCCGTTCCAGGAGACTGAAGCATATCAAGGTCTTCAATAGTAAAAAAAAAAAGAGTTTAAAGATAACACTTTGCTTTAAGACTTCACAAAAAAAAGTTACACTGAGCTTTGGAAAGAGACACAAGGGAAACCCCTAAGATTTGTTTTCCAAACTGCTGTTTGTAGGCTGGATGTGGTCTTAAAGCAGAGAGGCATCTCTCAGCCCTTTCATTTCTTATTCAGAGGTCTTGCTCTCTATCTGAGTCTTTTAGCATGCAGGATCCATTAAGTACACCACTCATAGAATTGTTAGTTCTACCCCAGTAGCTTTTTGTCTTTTCTTTTGTTTTCCTTAATCTTCATTTTCCAATTACAGTGTGGCATCTTTTCTCAAAAGTCTTACCTCATGCAAAGTGTCAGGTGAAAAAAATGAGGAAATTTCAGGAACTCTGAACAATTTGCAACTTCATTTAAGTCACACCTTGTCTGTGACTCAGGGATTGCCCAAAGCAAAGCAAAGGGCACTGCATGTCAGCAGACCTTGTTAGTACAGTCTGGAAAGTCTCTTGGAGGCTGTTTTTTGACTTGTGTGACTCCAGTCAACACTGGCCTTTTGTTTTGCTTTGTTTGAATTTTATACACAAAAAAATCATTCATTAATATAGTATTTTACCATAGTTCACTGATATGGTATGGCAGTGGTAAAAATAGTCCATTAATGTGGTATTTTACTTTTAGAGACTTGGAGATATATTTGAGCGAAGATGCCAGATCAGTTCTTGATAGGTGTTGATAGTTAAGGTTCAATCTGCTGGTGCAGTTGAGACAACAGTGGTTTCTTAAGAAACAGGCAGAGAATTTTGGGACTGGTCATCAAATCCAGCCATTCACTGAGGGAGGTTGGTGACTTAAATCAATTTGCAGATAAGAAACTCTGCTCTTAACAGGACCAGACACTGAAGTGGAGCATCCCATGGCTGGATAATGGGGAGGTTTATTGGCTGAACTGCACAAAGAATTTTTCTTGCCCCTGCTGACGTTGTATCTCCTGTTCAGGGCTGGTGCTAAGCATTTCACCATTTCTGTTTACTGCTTATAATTTTAAAACATGCGAATACCTGAAGGTATAAAGTGCTGGGATGTTTACCTTAATGTTTCCAGAAAATCTTTAGCATTTTAATAAAACCACATATCAGAAGGGTAGCTATGATACCACTTAAAACTTGAGAAATATGTTCAATATTAATGACTAGGAAAGGTCAAATAGGTAAGTTGGATGAGTTGATCATCCTCTAACAGTCTTTTAGGTAAGCAGGCATATATTTCATAATGATTAGAGGATAAATATTGGTAGGTAGCCTGGAAATGTAAGGCTATTTCACTTATTCTTGTATTTAATTTTAAATACTTTTAGTAACAATGGGCTCTTTTTTTTTTTCTTTACTGTTCCTTGGGGATTTGTCTGAAAGTTGTTTGTATTTTTTTTTTATAAGTTTAAAATACTCTTGGGAAATTAAAATTCCAAATAAATGAACCAGATGTTGGTATTTTGACTGAATCAAGATGTGCAGAGATGTTTCTAATCCGCTGAAATATTTTTCAAGACTTCTCTAATGTGACTAGCAGAGAATCTGTGTTTCTGTCATTGTTAAGATTTCCATTTCCCCTAAACCTATAAGGTGATGTGATAGAACTTGAAAGCATTTTGTACCTTACAGTACCAAGGAGATTTATTCAAAGTAAGCTATGGCAGAGACAGGAAACTTAGAAAGCAAACAATGCAGGTAAAGTAAATGTTAGATTTGCTGTTTAATTTTGTCAAATCAACCATTAAAGTCTGTTGTTAAAGCAAATGCTACATAGATCTTGTAGGAATTTGGTGTGGAAAAAGAGTGACTCAGTGAACAAAAGGCAGATCTTTTAGCTTGAACTTTGCCTTGGCTGGTGCCTAAGCCAAATGGAAGCCACCAGTCAGTTAAGTAAGAATAGCAATTCTAAAAGAATCAGGGAAAGCTTTTTCTAGGAAGTGGCTGTTATTTTTAATATTAAAAAATGCTATGCTTACATAAACAAACTTGAAAATAATTAAATAATTTAGTTTGCAATGTTAATTTGTATAATCTTAGTCCATTAGGCCCATAATAAAAGTCCACTGCATTTTTTCTTCCTCATTACAAATTAGTGTCTATGAACACTATCACTTTGCTCAGCTTATGTTTTATGTTCTTCTCATACTGCTTTTAGTTATATTTTCGTAGGTTACAAAAAGGAAAAAAAGAAAATATTTTTAAAAATTAATTTTTTTGGGAAAATTGCAGTTGTGTTCTTGAAAATCAGTGCAGCCAATAATGTCAAATATATATATTTTAACATAAATGTTATACAGTCTTCTCTCCTGTTAACACTTTGTTTTATTTCATCTGTCAGTGAGAAGAAGAAAGAGAAAGAACGCGAAGAACTGTGGAAAAAACTGGAGGATTTGGAATTAAAGAGAGGTCTTAGACGTGATGGAATAATTCCAACTTAACAAAAAAACAAAACAGCATTATTAACCTGTGGAGTCACACATTTATGTAGTAGAAGATGGAGCAACAGTTTTCTGTATTGTGCAACTTTACAGTAGATTTCACATTTGTTTCATTATTACAACAGCACTGTATATACCTGTCTCTAAGTAAAGGAAAAAAATAAGGACTTTAATCCAAAGTTTGGACAACAGATGGACTTCTCAGAACTTTGCAAACATAATCATTGTTTTAACCCTTCTTTAAAACCAGTCTTCAAAGATCTGTTGATGAAAATTGCAATGTCAAATTCCATTGTCAGGACCTGTTCCTTATTTATCATTAGCAGAGAGTATAATACAACTTTCAAATGTGAACAATCTTAAAATTTAGCTTGTCTTTCTGCTAAACTGTTACGTGTATTTATAGTAAAAGAGAAAAAAGACTGTCATTTCCTTATGAGTTTGTGTAACATCCTCCTTCTCTGGATAACTTTACTGTAATTTGACTTTTTTTTTCCTTTTGCACATCTTCATGAGTTGAATGTCCATTCAGATCAGGGCCATGAAAAACATTGGTCCTGAATAAAAGTTTTGTTTACTGGTGTGAGAATTTTTTTAGTACCAGGCTGTCTCTGGTGCTTCCTTAATTTGAGCATTAGGAGTTAAAAAAAAAACAAGTAGGTGATAAACATAGTAGGAAAGGGAGCTTTGGATTCATGCACCTTTTTATTACAAATCCAAATTAGTGTCCACAATCCTTGAAAAAATGGGCAGTGGTAACACCCTGAACTTCAGTACCTAACCAGTATTAGTGATGCAGCATTGGAGACACGTACCAGAGTTGGTTTAGAAACACTAATTGCTAAATTATTACAGTATGTTTTTATTGGACCATTTAGAAAGAACACACGTGCTAAACAACACAAGCATGAAATTGCTCTCCAGTGGTCACGGATCTAATTGGAAAATGAGTTGAGATAGCAGTTTGGACAGTTTGGAGTTGTTGCCTTACTTTTTAATATGTATTTATAAAGTGTTCCAGCAAAAGAGGATGTAGCCTCTAAAAAACATACTCTAGTGTTTTTGTGGTTCTAGTACTATTACTCATCACAGTACCAGCCCTGTGGTCTTAGCTGGAAAGGATTCTGGATAATACACTTCTGCATTCTCATCTGGATGCTCATTCCTAACTACTGTATTTGTTACCAAAAGTGGTTCTACAAATGCTACTGAAAAAAAAAGAATTCTGGAAATCCTAATGTTCTGAGTATTAATAATAAAGTTTAAAATGCTTTTATATCAAAGGTGCATTGTGACCAAATTGTTTAAAACAAAAGAGGAAAAAAAAAATTACAAAGAACAAAAGAAGAGGGCTGTATTATAAGTATACATTATTGGCTATCTGCTTTGTATTTGAAAGTGGAATCTTACATCTTTGGTAGGTAAAATGCTGATAAGACTTATGTACAGTATATATTTAGCTAATGCAGTTGCATTATTATATACCAGAAGGTATGTGTTTTGGGATTTTTCTCCAGGATGCTTTTGAACTGTTATAGACATATGACAACAGTGAATTGATAATCCTAAACCATCAATCCAGCAGTATTTACAGTATAAAACTGAATTGGTGTTCATGAGTCTTTGTGATAGTTGCAAACATGAATTTATGACCTGTTGCCATTGATAGAAATACAGTATAAATACAAGCTTGTATATTTTTCTTCCTACCATTTAAATATACAGTAGGATTTGAAGTTTTCTTGTTTTCAGGCACGGAAAAGAGGTAAAAAAGGATTCCCTCCTAGACTACTGACTGTTTCAGGATTATCAGGTCACAGTTTGTACTCCTGGGTCTGCGCACACAAATGTTGTAAACTCAACGTTTTGTAAGAACTTGACACTGTTAATTCTGGAAAAAAAAAAAAAAGTGGAACTAGTCATATGCAACACCAAACACAACATGGTTTTAATGGGATTAATATGAGCTTCTTTTAAGAACATTGACTGGGACGCAATGTAAATTAGGCAGTTACTGTCATAGTTGAAACATTTTATTTTAAAGTGCTGAAGCAAAGGTGCAAGCTGAAATACTGAAGATTAAATAAATTTATAACAAATCATGTCCCTTAGCCCATTGATTTTGACAGTCTTTTATTTCTGTTACCAAAAAAAAAAAAAATATTTGCTAGTGTGACTTCTGTGTGAAATGATCATACAGTACAAAAGGGTGGACTCAAACTCATGCTCAAAGACTATGTTCCATTGTGAAAAACTGAGATAGAATGGAGGACTAAAACTTCATGTTTTTCACCTGGTGGAGTAAAACACAACAATGTGAAATTAGAAAAAGCACCTTGTCCTGTACTTAGAGTTTAGGTGAGTGTTGTTTGTTCATAACTATTTTTGGTTTCTGACATGTCATTCTGCTATTGATCATACAAGACTGACGAGAACCTGATGGGTTGCAATATTTTGTTACCTCTGATTGTTACCTCTGATGTGGGGATAGTGGGGTGTATCTAAAGTTTATAGATGACTTATCACTTCCGAGAAGGAATGTTTAACGTGAACGGGACGCTGTGATGTTATTAGTCACTTGACTCTAAAGGCTCACACGGCAGTAGGTTTGCACTGTGCGATGTACCCAAAAGAAGCACTTGCCACAATGATACGACCGTACCCCCGGGACCCACAGGCTGCCGCAGTCCCAACGCCATGTCCTGCCCTGCACAGCTCCCACTGCTGTCCCTTGGAGCTGCAGGCCGAGAAGGAGGCAGCACACGGGCCCAAGTGTGATCAGTGCGTCTGTTTAATTAACGCTTTTCGTTCGCTCCTTGAGTTCCAGCAACTACCTTTGTTTGTGTAAATGTTGTTGTTCGCTGCTCGTCCGGCAGTCGTTGGGTGGCCACTCGTGTCCTGTGCCATATTGGTTTCAGGAGGAAGGATTGGATGCTGTCTGGTCAAAGGAAAAGAGCCGCGTGTTCGACACTAGGGCATTGCATCGGGTCGTGGGGATGTAACAACTGTAAAAGTAAAGTTCCTCTCATACACTTTAAATTGAGCACACGTTGCTTTCTTCATCCTGCAAGTCTCCCTTACTGTTTTCCTTTCGTTGCTTTTGAGTGTTTTTTGTCTCCCTTCCAAAGGTTGGAATGCTTTAAATAAAAGTATTCTAATGCCGTTGGAGCGTTCACTAGCAGGCTTACAGTAAATTTAATCCTGATTTTGTTAGCATAAATAAAAGGATTTAATTTATTTTTTTATCTACTCTCATATATGGAAAAATCGAGGGTGTTAGAGCCAAGAATTGCTTGAGTAAGAAATGGAGCAGCTGTACTTACATTATACGTGCATAAGTACAGCCTCAGGCTATCTCACTCTGTGGAAAAGAAAATATATTAGGAGCTGTAAAAAGCTCTTTATTGTTTTGTGAGGAGCAGGAAAGACGAGATTCTTCTCCCTCCAAGTAAAACTGAAATAGTTTGCTTTTAGTTCTGTCTCGGAAAACAAAGATGCCCTTTTCTCTTAATTGTATGACAGCACCATCCCAAAGCAGTTGCCCTAAAAGAAGACAAAGATGAAAATGCTCAAGATTGAAGAATGTTTTTATTTACATGTGGCTTTTTTATTTTGGCTCACATGCTTCCCTTAGCAGCTCTGGAGTGAGCCATGAATTAGTTTTTCCTAGTTGGTATGTGCAGCATATTTTATATAGCCCAGTTTTTCGTTTTGAAGTCTACAAAGCAGTATCTTGAAACAGAATGGAACTGATTTTCATTGAAAACTTTTATCCAAGTGTTGCTTCCCATCCACAGAAGCGTACACTTTTTATCATGACCTCTCTGAATAAGAGTTTTTGTTATTTGGATCACTTAACTGTAAATATGTTGTATTCATAACCTTATGGACCCATGAGGAGTTTTCAAATATAAATAGTACCGATACATTTCTTGTTGTTGTCCTATTTTTGACTGTAGTATAGCGAATGACCTGTCATGCTTTTTGTTTCAAGGTTAGCATTAGATTCATAGATCTTAATATTTTAGCATTTCATTGTTTAAGCAGGAGAGGGCAGCAAAAGTTCATTTTTCCCCATAGGAATGCTCTGGTCCCATTACTGTTTTTAAACTTAGTTGCATTTAACTATCTGTGGGTAGGGGGGAAAAATGAAACACTTTTTATATATATTAAAAGGTGCATATGAAAATATATAGACTGGTCCAACCAGACTGTGAAAATGTCTTCTACTCTACATCCAAGTAACAATAAAAGAAAAATATCTTCCACCTCTGGATAAAGTACAAGCAGGTCTTAAGCTCTTGGATTCAAATGTCATTCTTTGGAAACAGTTTACTTTCTTAAAAATGGTATCAAAGAAACTCGAACTCAATGGTGCTCCCAGCTATAAATGTGTAATCTTCCTCTTTTGCACTTGCTAAAGAGGCTCTGTACTGTGGGTGCATCTAAATAAAGAAGCAATGAAGTGTTTTCCAGGTGCTTGGCTTTTTTTTATCCACCTCCTCCCATCTAAACTTCATGTAACTTTTCAGCAGTGAACTTCCAGCAATCAGATACCCATCTGTATGTATTAAATGTGTTAAAGGACACTTGTCTGGAAACAAAACCCAAACAGCGAGGTGGTAATTTAAGCTTCAGCCAGAATTACCGTAGTAAACACTTGGTTTTCATTAAGTTCATTTTTTTAAAGGTCCTCTCATCGTGGTGGGCTGCACACAACCCCACCTGTGAGAGAGGTCAAGAGCAGTGGATGCAGAAAAAGGGCATTAGAGCCACACGTTGATCTTCAGGATCTCTTTGAGCCTTACACTTTGCAGCTGGTGAAGGAGTTTGTTCTTTCTCCTGTTTCAGTCCTCGTGCTGTCCTGCCTTGCAGTTTGGAGGCGAAGAGAAAAGCTTAAGATGGTCACATGTGTGGGGGAAACCCTCTGGAGAGGATCACGGAGAGAGCCTGGTAAGGGGCAGTGCTGGTGAGCGGCTTCAGCAGCAGCATAGAACATATGGGTGCTTCTGTAAGACTGGAGAAAATATTTAGTAAACATCTGATCTTTAAATACCACTTTCTTACATGAGTTATTCCAATGGTCTAATTCTTAATTCCTTCTATTTTGATTTTTTCCAAATTACATTTTCAGCGGTTGGATCTTGCTTGCCTTTGTTAGAAGAGCTCATTATCACAAATCTCTTTAAGTACTTGTAAGACAATATTTAGATCACTTAACAACCTCAAATCTCTTTACTTTCTTATTGCAAGGCAAGTATTTTCTAAAGAAGTTTTAAAAAAAAAAAAAGATGAGAACATGCAGTAAGTTAGCCTTCAGGGTAGGATTTGTCTTCTTGCTTGCAAGCTGGAAAACAACCTTTACAAGATCAGAGTTAAAAACTTAAATTAGATTCCTACTTTCGGTAATGATAATTGCTTTGCTAATTTTTCATCTTTGTCTTTGCTTCTCAGGGAAGTTTTGGTTTCTCATATACCAGCAGAGTGCCTGGTTTATCTTATGTTAGGTTTGGACCCTAGATCACAAGTCTGTAGCCTACAAAAGTAGCTTTGTGTGCAGATAAAGGGTGTTCCCAAGGCTGTATTGATTAGTGGAAACAAATACAAGGTCTTGCATTGTGAGTTTGGAGTGATCTATGGTTTTAAAGATTTTATGCTGAAGCCAAAGCAAATATCCTGAATTTGTTAGAAAATACCTTGAAAATGAGTGTTCTAACCCACTGTGAGCAGTGGCCAAAGGCTTTCGTGCAAGTCTCTATCACATGAAAAATGGTCATACAGAAACTTGATTTTTCACTCTTTTTATGCCTGGTTGGTTTTGATTTCTCCCCTGTCCATTTTGTCTATTCAGTACTATCCTCTCTTGAAATCACTGGAGGTGAGAGAAGTTAGGGGTCACTTGGGAAGGATGGAAAGCTTGCAATGCATTTAAAGAAATGTATATTTTTTTATACAATGGTTCATACCTTTGATACACACTTGAAAGGTCTGGGAACTTGTCATACCTTTGATACACAGTTGAAAGTGTCTGGGAACTTGTCTTGCATTATACCTGGGTCTGGGAAGGTCTTCCAAAAAGAGGATGAGAAAGGGATATTCTATATGCCTTCTCAATCTTGTTTCCAGAATTCTTACTTTGCACCACCAGGGACAAGTTTTTTCTTGGGTACAAAGCCTCAGTGCTTCCCTGACAGAAAAAGCAGCAACCCAGCAGTCTGTGTTCATGGAGCACTGAGGATCCTACACCAGCCTTCCAACCACAGCAGGAGCACACTCAGGCATAACTGCCCTGACAGCAAGGAAGGAAAGACCTTGTGTTTGCATGAGGATTTCTGCAGCCCTCCAGCAGCAAAAGGCCTGAAAACCTTTTGTGAACTGAGCAGGCTCAGGTCAGTTCTGAATCGTCACCTTCTGGTGAAGCACACGTGGTTTATCTGTGTGAGCAAACTGGACAAGTGGTCCAACTCAGTTTTAGGTTTTAATATTAACTGTGCAAAATGTACTTAGTAGGATTACGTCTTATGCTCATCAGTCATCCCTAAGACCACGCAATGGCTCCCCTGCTTTTCTAGATCTTACTTTGGCTTTGTATATAATGTGCATAAGTGGAAAATCACTGTATATTTAACTATCTCAAACCCAGATGGGCATCTGCGTTACAAAGTCTCCCAATTCAGCCATCCTGGAGGAGACAGGCTCAAGTCTGCAGTTGGCAGATCTTGGAGTAACTTGGCAAAACACACACTTGATTTCTGGAGCAAGAAAATGCGGAATTCAGACAGTGGTAATTAGCTTGTTAGTCCACAGACTATTTCACAAACACAAGGGGTTATTATTGCTCTTTGCTCTCCGTGACACTCATCAGACAGCAATTGTCACGCTTAGTGGTTACGAACATTTTGAACACCAGTTCTGGCCAGAC